TTTGATTCATTCAGAATTCAGTGCCGCTGGGCTGCAGACAGCTTGGGTAGGACCTTGTCTCATCTGTGCTGGCCCTGGGCTTGAGGCTGGCACCACAAGGGGGGCAGGAAGATGGCAAGTTTGAGCCTAGGACTCCCTAGTTATGGAGGAGGAGATGGAGAAGGAAGGGGAAAGGGGAAAGAAGAAAAGGAGGAGGTGGAAGAGGAGGAGAAAGAGAAGGAAGAAGAAGAGGAAGGAGGAGGAAAAAGAAAGGAATGAGGAGGGGAGAATGATTTGGTGCTACAAGTAACAGATCCTAAAATGTAGAATCGGCTGGCGGGGAAGTAGGACAGGAGGCAGTGAGGATCTAGTCCAAACCAGACATTCTGAGCTTATGAAACTCTCGTCACCTGCTGTTTTGAGCACAAGCTACAGACCCATTCGAGTGTGCTATTAGAAGGAGAAGTTACGGGAGAAAGCTAGGAGGTTGGTGTGGGTTGGCTCCTTCTATAGGCTTCAGTAAGACTATTAGTAATTTAGTCTGAAAGTGATGTAACTGAAAGAATGGACAGAGGAAATATATGGCTTTGTTAAGAAAGGTGCTTTTTGCCTATGGCCTGCAATTGAGACTTACAGAGTCTCACACTGTCCCAGCTCCCACTACATATCGCAGCTAAAGTTGAGTGGTCCCCAGAAAGGGCATCTCACCATGCCCATCTCTGGCATAGCCATGGAGAACAAGGGACAAATAAGATTCTCTAGCAGGAAGAATTAGCATCATGGTGTATAAAAGAAGATCCCAGCCAGGCATGGTGATGGGTGCCTATGATCCCAGCACTCTGGAAGGCTGAGGCAGGAAGACTGTAAGTTTGAACCCAGACTGGGCAACTTAATGAGACCTTGTCTCAAAAAATAAAAATTGGAGGGCTGGTACCTTAGCCCACAGTGGAGGCCCTGGGCTCAATCTCCAGTACCTGGGCTGGGATGGGGTTCCCCACTGAGGGTAAACCTGGACATTCGTGGGGACCCAAGGCACTCACTCTACTGCCAGCAAAATATATATATGCATGGTATAATGTGTGCTCCAAATCAATAATAATTGTGTTTTCTTCTTCATCCATTCTTCCTTTGCTAGAATTAGTTTTCATTGTATTATTTTTTTCTCCTTATTTTAAGACATTGGATGTAGATAAGTTAAATTTTAATCATAGGTCACCATGCCTCAAAGTGCCATCTCCACACTTGAAGAAACCCTGGCCTTGGAGCTGAACAGCGCTACCACTTGAAGCCCTAGATTGTCTCTCATGGGCGAGGAGGTGCTGATCGGGACTCTTTCATGTAGGCATAAACTTCCTTTAAACAACAACCATTCTCCCCTTACTTCACACCCCACAGAATTCTAATTCTGTTTTGATCCCTGCTCCCCATGGGACCATGAGCTGACATTAAGTCAGAGGTGGCTTAGGACCAGGTGATGCTGGATCACCTAAGAATTTCGTATCACACTGTAAACTCCCCAAAAGAGGAGCTCCATGGATTTTTGTCACTGCTGACTCCAGAAGAGCCCTAGAACACACTTGATGTTTAATATGTGTTAAATAAATGAAAGGGTAATGGAGGGGTTTATAAAGAGGGTATGGGAACTGCTGAGCAGAAACCAGACTCAGTGTTACGTGAAACATGGAAGTAGAAAAGAGGTGGGGGAGGAGAGGGGTGTTAAACAGAGAAGTTCAGGAGGAAATGGCAGAGACTTAAACTGGATATTCAGGGTGGGGACAGAAAGAGGTGGGCACATTCTTACTGGATTCACACCACCACCACCCCGGACCAGGGATCGAACTTAGGACCTTGAGCTCGCCAGGCAAGCGAGGTGCCGCTGAGCTACATCCCTGGCCCTCTTACCATATTCTGAAATGACAGGATTTCCTAATGTAGACCATAAGAGAAGTAAAGAAAAAAATAATAAAGAAACAGTGACTGAGCAATATTTAACTCAAAATCATATGGCTGAGAAGAGAGCTTTAAATACTCAATAGGAGTTCTCTTCTTTACTTTTAAAGTTTAAATTGCGGTAAAATACACATAAAATTTACCATTTTAATCACTTTCAAGTGTAAAAGTCAGTGGCATCAGGTGTACTCAGTATTGTATAACCATAACCATTCTTTTAAAATAGACTTTTTAAAGAGCAGACTTTATTTCACAGAAAAAAATAAGCAGAAAGTGCAGAGTTCAGAATCACTACTTGCCCTCCATTCACCTGAACCTCTCCTATTTTAGAACTTTTTCATCATCCTGACATAGGGGGAACAGATGTAGCTCCCAAACCTGCTAGATATCCGAAATGCGAGTTCGTGTTCTCTAAAATCAAAGAATAAATTCTAGGAACAACAGAGGTTAAGAGTAGGAAAAATGTATTGAGAGAAAGAAAGCTTCTAAGAGAGACAGAAGGGGACCGGAAAGTGGGTTGCCCGCTCACCCTGCTTCTCAGAGGTGTTTAATGGGACAAAGCCACGAGGTGAGGCGGGTACAAAGTGGGGCAAAACTATAGTCAACCAGTAAGATTACAAGTACAGTCGCTTAGGTAAGATTGATCCAGTGGGAAATCATAAGGTGGACATGAGGTGGGATAAAACTGTGATCGACCAGTAAGATTATGACAAGTATAGTTGCTTAGGTAATTGTTATAAAGAATCCACTTGTGAAAAAAACAGGCTCTCGGGCCAGGGATTTAGCTCAGTGGCACTGAGTCTACCTTACAAGCACAAGGTCCTGAGTTTGATCCCCAGTACCAGAAAACAAAAACTAACAACAACAAGCCCTGCTCTTTGTTGTGAGAAAAAGAAAAGTTTATTCCAGTGAACAGGGACTATAATCTGGAGATTCTAGCAGCTAGCTGGGAATATCACATCCGTGTGTGGATGGGCTGACATAGGGAGACAGAGATAGAAGCTAGCTGGGAGAGATTTCATTCCTGAGTGGATGGGCTGACGCCAGGGGACAAAGATATTAACAATTAACTGGGAAAGGAATTAGGCTTATCTAGGTTTTGAAGGGGCTAAGGAATCTGGGGTGAAATATTTATGACTTGGATGCCCAAGGACGGTCTGCTCAGGTGTATACACAATTCCTGGTCTTCTAGGCACCAGGGGGCTGTATACTTCCTTTTGAGTCCATTTGCCCTATTTACTGAGAAGCTGCTGTTGTTTGCTAAAAGCATCCTGTTTGCTTTGTCTCATTTGTTTGTGAAGGATTCACTTAAATCTCACCTGATGGTCGTATTGATTAAGTGGGGATTAAATGGGGAAGCAGGTCACTGTAGCAAGCGTACAAGGAACAGATTTTCAGAAAGGGATGGGTCAGGGACCTTTCCTGAAGGGATAGGTTAAGATCTTGGCCCCCTACCCAAGTGATTGATACCTAATTCGTATATCAATCACTGCTATATATCCCTAGGGGAAATATGTGGGTGTAGTAGTTTTTCTCTTTATAATGCTAACCAGTGATTGAGCCTCAATTTTTTTTTTTCTATGCTGAGGGCCCAGCTTTGTCTAACTGCCTTATAATAATTTCTGACTAATTTAGCTATCTGCAATAATCCCCAAAAGAAACTATTAAGCAATATCTCAATTCCACCCTTCCTCCATCCTCTATTTTACTTCCTGTCTCTATGAATGGTCTATATGAAACACCTCATCTTCTTTTACAAAAGGGCTGTCTTAGTTCCTTTTCCTTATTGCTGAGACAAGATATCAGACATCCAAAGTTAAAGGAGAAAAGGTTTATTTCAACTCAGTTTGTAGAGGCTTCAGTCCTTACTCAGCTGGCTCCAAGAGAGGGTGGTCTGGCAGAGGAGAAAGAGTCCACGGCCAGCAGGGAGGATGCACCAAAACCAGCAAGCACACAAGCAGCAAGGCAGAAGTCTCTCCTTTTATCCTTTCCAGGTTACCCTCGTTTTAGGTGGTGGCACCTGCGACCAAGGTGGGCCTTCCCATTCTCCACACCCAGAGCTGTGCTAAGTCAGTCAGCGGACTAATGTAGTAATCACTCACCTTAGTCCCAGCACCATGCACCCTAGAAGAAGAAACACCTGGAAAGCACCACCTACGATTGAGTGAGGCTTTGGGGGACATCTAGATACGAGGCACAGTGGGCCAAAACATATCTCAGAGAAAAGGCAGTCTCTTTAACAAAAGCTACAGAGCACTGGATATCTATAGGTAAAACATTGAAATCAGATCCATATCTCTTGCCCTGTACAAAAATCTATTCAAAATGGATCAGAGATCTAGATATAAGACCTGAAACTGCAACTTCTAGAAGAAAACATAGGGGAAACACTTGAGGCCGTGGGCACAGCTACAGACTTCCTGAACAGACTCCAAGAGAACAGGAAATGATAGAATTAACAAGAAGGACTACATCAAATTACAGTGTTTCTGCACAGCAAGGGAAACAACCAAGAGAGTGAAGAGACAGCCTACAGAATGGGAGAGAATCTTTGCCAGCCACTCATCCAACAGAAGACTAATATTTAGAATATATAAAAAAACTCAAAAATTTACCACTAAAAGCCAAAAAGCCTAATCAATAAATGGACAAATGAATTGAACAAGGGCCGGGGATTTAGCTCAGTGGTTCTGCAGCCTGCCCCCCAAGCGCAAGGTCCTGAGTTCAATCCCCAGTACCAAAAAAAAAAAAAAAGGAATTGAACAAACATTTCTCAAAAGAAGAAGTACAAATGACCAATAGGTATGTGAAAAATGTTCAACGTCTATTTTATTTATTTCTTTTTTTTAAATGAATTTTATTGGTACATTTTAGGTATACAATATAATGACATTCATCATTGGAAATTTGGACCTTTACATAAACTCTCGGTTCTTATTTTTTCCCCAGGTAGGGGAAAAGAAAGAAGGGAATGGAATTAATGTGAGAAAATGAAAAAATGGAAACAAAGTCTTTGTAAATAGGGAGGAATGGAGGGGGTGAAGGGAGGGCAGAGGAAGGGGGAAAAATGTTCAACATCTTTAACCATTAGGGAAATGTAAATCAAAACTATATTGGATCCCTCTACCCGGAACTTCCTGGACCCTGTGCGTGCAGATGTCGTCACCTGGACCTTGAGCAGCATCACGAGGATATCAAAGACAATGGCCAAGAACAAATTAAGAGGGCAGAAGTCCAGGAATGTATTTCACATAGCCAGGCAAAAGAACTTTAAGTCCAAAAACAAAGCAAAACCAGTCACCACTAATCTTAAAAAGATAAACATTGTAAATGATGAAAAAACTCATAGAGTGAATAATGCTTTTGTAAACATTCAGAAGGAACTTGCAAATTTCTCAAAAAGGCTTCCTCTTGAACCACTGGAGAAAGAGCTGAATCAGCAGCATCATGAAGATGAACCAGTTAATGTTGATGAAGCTGCAAGATTAATGGTTCAATTGTAATACAATGGAGATGTATCGAATTCCGCCAAAAAAAACTCAATAAAATAAGTATTTTATACAAAAAAAAAAACTATATTGAGGCCAGTTTGCCCAGCAACCTGAAGAGGCTGGAAGTCTCAGACCAGGAGTGGAACCTCCAGACTGCGTCAGACCCATATACTCTGGGAAATTTGTTGATTGGATTCCTCGCCGGCCAACTGAAGGGAAAGTTACTCCAGTTGGATGCAGAGTTGCAACTTGCTTAACTAAGAAACTCCCTAAGCTGATTACTCCACTCGAGGCAAAAAAGTATTTCAACTTCCAATATCCACCTCCTGGAGCAGAGAGAGTATTTTATGGCAAAGCCAATGATCCTCAAATTGCACGTTACTTGACTCATGGGATAAGATCTAAAATTTCAATACCGGCAAATACATTGATAACGCCACAGTCTATTACCATATTTCAACAGAAAATTAAAGATAAAACAGAGTATATATTACAGTAATCAACGGGCACCATTAGGAAAATCTCACCATTAAACACCAGGATTACCTAAAGGACTGGACATCATCAAGACAACATTTGGGACAGCAGTCATCAGAGAATTCTCTGCCAGAGATGTAGTGAATCCACCAAAATCCTATGACGAAATATTTAAAGGAGAGGAGGGGGCCGGGGATTTAGCTCAGTGGTGCCAACGCCTGCCTCTCAAGCCCAAGGTTCCGAGTTTGATCCCCGGTACCAAAAAAAAAAAAAAAAAGAAGAAGAAAGAGAGGAAGGACATGATCTGTATGTTGTTTCTCACAATGATTATTATGTGGGAGAAGCAAAGAACCAAAAGTATAACCCATCCAGTTTCCATCGGTTTAACTTACTTGGCGTCCCTACACCACATTTTGATGACGGAAGAAACATGGCAAAAAGTTTATATTGGCTCCATGAACTACAAATGCAAAGAGGAACTAAAACTGTATCCAAGAGAGTTGATAATTTCAAAGAAAAGTTTCAACATAAACTTGAAAGAGTTTTAGATCCCATTGCAGAAACAATAAATGTTCCCCCAGGCCACACATTTGGAGCTTGTCTCTCTCCTGAGGAATATGGAGCTGGTGATCTCATCCAGAATAGACTCCCAGGGGAGTATCTTCCAGGGAAAGACAGACAGTGAGCCCTGATTGCTGCAGTTTGACATCACTTGAAGAAATTTAATTATCAAAACTTTGAGGGCCAGGGATTTAGCTCAGTGGTTCCATCACTTACCTCGAAAGCACAAGGTCCCGAGTTCGATCTCCGGTACCAAAAAGAAAAAAATTTGCCACTTGGCTGGCGGCCTTCAGGCACCATGACAAGAAGGGAGATGGGATGATAGACAAAGCAGGGCCTCAGGAAACCTGTGACCAGGCCAACTTGCATCCAGATGAGACGCTCCTCAGCCAGCTGTTTGACTACTGTGATGTGGACAGTGATAGCTTGATTAACTACCTGGAATTGCAAATTTTCTTAACTGGAAAGACAGTATGCTTCTTAAAGAGTACGAAGAGAGGGTCATTATTAAAGGTAGAAAACCAGATTGCACAAACCCTGCTGAGGCTAATGTGGAAGAGTCCGAGCCAACTCTTCCGATAAAGCCTGAAGATACTGTCTTCGAGAACCAGGGAGCTCAGGAAAGACTCTCAGAGACCAGGGGAGAAAGTGCCCAACTGCTGTAAGATGAGCTCTTCTGAGATCGATAGAACTAATTACAGTGGAGAAGGCAACGCTTACTGTTCACTACATCCTACCATCTTTGCCCAGAAAGGAGTGTTTGAAAGAGACTTCTTCAAGACCAGATCAAAGGAAGAGGTACAGCAGCAAAGATGGAAATGCTGACATATCAATTTCTATTTTAGACTTTTAAAAATTATAGCTTTTGGGGCCAGGGATTTAGCTCAGTGGTGCTGCCACCTGCCTCACAAGCGCAAGGACCCGAGTTTGATCCCTGGTACCAAAAAAAAGAAAAAAAAATTATAGCTTTTATATTATAAAAGCCTTAGGATCCCTCAAAATAGAAGTAACGATGAGTAATGTTCAGTTTGGTTGTGACGTTCTAGTACAAGTCATTTTTTGGAACAATTATTGAATAAGAATTTATTTGAGGCAGATCTATCTACCTGCTTCCTATTACCTGTCTTATTTTGCTCAAGAGAAAGGATCAAGCGGGAGAGGGAGGAAAGGGATAAGGGATGAAAAAAGAGATTGGGATGTTTTATGTACACGTACCAGCTCCACACAAGGAGTGTTAACATTATATACTAAATACTGGGCTGGGGATTTAGCTCAGTGGTTCTGCCGCCTGCCTCACAAGCACAAGGTCCCTAGTTCGATCCCCAGTACCAAAACAAAACAAAACAAAACATTATATATTAAATACATGTACTAATAAAAAAGAATTTATTATGTAACAGGAAGCATTTCAGACATGTTGTGTATTCATGATAGACCATGTATTAAAAAGCAAAGTATTTTCTAAAAAAAACCCAAAAAACTATATTGAGATTCCAGCTCAATGTAGCTCAGTGGCACAGTGCTTGCCTGTAAACGGTGAGGTCCTGAGTTCAGTCCCCGTTACCAAAAAAGAAACTATATTGAGATTCCCTCTCACCCGCTTTTTTTCCTTTTCCCTTACCCTCTCCCTTGTTTCTCTTCCTGTTTGAACATGTTCTGGCTTCCCAATATCTGTGCTCCATTATGCTCCTTGTTTGCCCTTTGGGTTTCTCATGAAAGAAAAATAATGCAATATTTAAACTTGTGTGTCCAATTAATTTCATTTAACATTGTGGTCTCAAGATGCACCTGTTTTCCTACAACTGACTCAAATTTAGTCTTCTTTATGACGGAGCAGTACTCCATTGTATGTAAATACCACATTTTCTTTATCCATTCATCTGTTGATGGGCATATGGGCTGTTTCCAAAATTTAGCTATTTTAAATTGTGCTCTATAAACATGGGTATGCATATATCACTATGGTATCATGCTTTTAACTCTTTAAGGAAGATACCTAGGAAGGGAACAGCTGGTTCAAATGGAACCTCTAGTTTTAGTTTTTTGAGGAATCTCCATAATGATTTCCATAGTGGTTGCAGTCTACACTCCCACCAATAATGGAGAAGGGTTCCTTTTTCCCCACAGCCTCACCAGGATTTGTTATTGGTTGATTTCTTGATGATAGCAGCCATTCTTTCTGGGTTGAGATGGAATCTCAGTGTTGTTTAAATTTGCATTTCTTGAATAAGCAGTGACATTGAGCATGTTTCATATATTTATTTGCTATTTGTACTTCATATTTCTCATCTGAGAAATATGTATTCTTTTCACAGGTCCATTTATGGATTGGGCTTTTAAATTTGGGAGGCCTGTTTTTTTAGTTCTTTATATTGTAGATGTTAGTCCTCTGAGGAGTAGCTGGCAAAAATTTTCCCCGCACCTGGGTCATCTCTTCCTTCTGCTGGTGGTTTCTCTTGCTGTGCAAAAACTTTTTACTTTGATTTGATCCCAGTTGTTGATTCTTTGTGATATTTCCTGTGCAATTAGGGTTTTGTTCATAAAGGCTTCGCCTATACCTTCGTCTTCAAGAATTTTACCTATCCTATCTTCCAGCAGATTAAGTGTTTCTGATTTAATATTTAGATCTTTGTTGCATTTTGATTTTAGTTTAGGGCATGGTGAGAGATATAGGTCTAGGTTTAATTTTTGGCATGTGGAAAGCCAGTTTTTCTAGCACCATTTATTGAAGAGATTATCTTTCTTCCAGTGAAGGTGTTTGGCTCCTTTGTCAAAGATAAGGAGGCTGAGTGTGCTTGGAGTTGTTTCTGAATCTTCTAGTCTGTTCCATTGATCCTTGAGTCTGCTTTTTTGTCAGTACCATGCTGTTTTTATCACGGTAGTGTTGCAGTATAATTTCAAATTAAGGATTGTGATCCCCCTGCCTTGCCTTTGTTGCCTAGAGCTGCTTTTGCTATTCTAGGTCTCTTCTGGTTCCATATGAATTTTAGGATTGTTATCTCTAGTTCTGTGAGGTATGCTATTAGTATTTTGATTGAGATTGCATTAAATCTGTATAACATTTTTGGAAGTATGGCCATTTTCACTATGTTGGTTCTGTCTATCCAAGAACAGGGGATATCTTTGCATTGTTTTTTTTTCTTTCTTTCTTTCTTTTTTTTGGTACCGGGGATTGAATTTGGGACCTTGTGCTTGTGAGGCAGGCAGGGGCACCGCTGAGCTAAATCCCTGGCCCAATTTCCATTTTCTGACATCTTCTTCGATCTCTTTTTTCAGAAGACTGTAATTTTCTTTTTTTTTTTTTTTTGTTACCGGGGATTGAACTCGGGTCCTTGTGTTTGCGAGGCAGGCGGTGGAATCACTGAGCTAAATCCCTGGCCCTAGAAGACTGTAATTTTCAATGTAAAAGTCTTTCATTTCCTTTGTTAGATTGATTCCTAAGTATTTAATTTTTTGGTGCTTGCTGTTGTGAAAGGTGTTGTTTCCCTAATTTCTCTCAGTGAGTTTGTTATTCCTGTACAGGAACGCTATTGATTTTTGAGTGTTGACTTTGTATCCTGCTATGCCGCTGAATTTGGTTATTAATTCTGGGAATCTTTTGGTGGAGTCTTCAGGATCTTTTACGTAGAGTACCATGTCATCCACAGATAATTATAATTTCACATCTGCCTTTCCTATCCATATTCCTTTTCTTTCTCTTGTTTAATTGCTCTGGCTAGTGTTTCCAGAGCAATGGACAGGAGTGGTGATAGTGGATATCCTTGTCTTGTTCCTGGTTTTAAAATGAAAGCTTTCAGTTTTTGACCATTTGGAATGATGTTGGCTGTTGGTTTCTCAGAGATGACTTTTATCAGATTGAGATGAAGGCCTTCTATTCCAATTTTCTGTAGGTTTTTTTTTTAATAATGAATGAGTGTTGGACTTTGTCAAATGCTTTTTTGTGTGTCTATTGAGCTGATCATATGGTTTTTGTCCTTGGTTCTAGTGTGGTGTATT